AAATGATAGTCTCCCCAACACTCAACCTCTCTCTCATAGGATTTGGATTTGGTGGAAAGAAGATTTGAGTGGAAAGCAACTTGGGGAAGGCTAGAGACCAAGATTCATATGGTAGGAATGGAATATCTTGCTCTCAACACAAGTGTAGGTGGTTCTCTCTCAGAAAATGTATGCTGGAAGTGTAGGCACGTTCTGATGGCTCTCTCCACGAATGAAGAGGAGGTGGAGGGGTATATATACCCTCCACACAAAATCTAACCATTACACACAACTTGCCAATCTCGGTGGGACCGAATTGAGAAACTCGGTCGGACCGATTTAGAAAATCTAGTGACCGTTAGGATTTTCCGGTGGGACCGACATGCAACTCGGTAGGACCGATATGGTTCGGGTTAGGGCATAACGTAATCTCGGTGAGACCGATTACACAAACTCGGTGGGACTGATTTTGGTAATAAGCTAACCAGAGAGTTGGTCAGGTAAACTCGGTGGGACCGGTTCGCTCATTTTGGTGAGACCGAAATATTACGAAAGGGAAACAGAGAGTACATTGTAATCTCGGTGGTACCGAAACGTTACGAAGGGAAACAGAGAGATTACAATCCCATCTCGGTGAGACCGAGATCCCTATCGGTGAGACCGATTTGCCTAGGGTTTGTGGCAGTGGCTATGACATCTGAACTCGGTGGCACCGGATAGAAAGAAACAGTGGGGCCGAGTTTGACTTTTGGTTTGGGTCATCTGTGGATCTGAGAAAGTAGTTGAGGGCTTTGGAGCATATCACTAAGCACTTTGAGCAAGAACCTCATTAAGCAACATTTCATCCCTCCTTGATAGTATTGGCTTTTCCTATAGACTCAATGTGATCTTGGATCACTAAAATGTAGAGTCTTGAGCTTTGAGCTTGAGCCAATCCTTTAGTTCTTAGCATTTTGAGGGGTCCACTTTTCTCACCCATGCCATGCCATTCATTGAGCTTTCTTGAAATATTTATCTTGAAATAGCATTAGCTCAATGAGCTATATGTTGTTAGGAATTACCAAAACCACCTAGGGATAGTTGCACTTTCACTAGCTTTTTGCATCTTTTTCCATGTACTTCATAATTCTTTCACAATAACGTGTGCTTGGGTTGTTCAAGATATGCTGCTCTGCTTTTTGATGTCTATCTCTAAAATACTTCACGGTGCCATAGAAAATACCCTCAACGATGGCTGTAAGTGGCAATGCCATGTTTCCTCTGAGGACAAAGTTGTATGTTTCTGCGAGATTGGTAGTCATGACACAATACCTTGCTCCATGTGTCATGTGTGTCATGCAATAAAGACCACCTCTCCAGAGGCTCATGCTCTATCCATTGCTCGAAGATTTTAATAGACCTCCCGAGCCTTCTCCTAGTACCAGGTGGGTCAAATCCTGGCAAGTCACAAAGCCCAACAGGCTCTTCCTCCATAGCTGTTGTTCCAGTTGCTAATTATGCTGCTACTGCTTCCACATGTGCTCTAACAGCTGCATCTCTTGCAGCTTTCCTGTCCCTAATGTGTCTCTGCGTGCACATATTAAGTCCGTCACGTATCAAATTGTACTTCCATAGCTAGTTCTGTTTACAGAGTTTTTTGAACAAATTCATCAGGTTCTTATTTTTGAACTGCGAGAAGAAATTAGCCCCCAGATGGCGCATGCACCAACGGCTCTGCAAGTCCTGCCATGGAGTTTGTTCCTCAGGACCAGGGTTTGTCACTGTCTTTATCGCACTGAGTATACCTGCATGCCTGTCATGAGGGATGCAGACATTGGGCTTATCCTTCACAACTGCTACTTTCAATTACCTGAAGAACCATGTCCAACTTTCAATGTTCTCATTCTCCACAAATGCAAAAGCGAGTGGTACTACTTGATTTTGTTCGTCTTGACCAATGGCTGTCAGGATTTGACCCTTGTACTTGCCAGTGAGAAAAGTGCCATCTAAACATATGACCGGTCGGCAATGCCTGAAAGCTTCGATGCATACACCAAAAGAGAAGAACAGTCAATGCAGCACCCTCACAGTTGGGAACTCTGGCATGAAGAGGTCTTGGATGTCGACATAGGTGCCAGGATTGCGGGCCTGTAGCGTCTGGAGGAGCCGGACAACAGAGTCATATGCATCGAAAAAAGAACCAAATCTGGTCTCAAGCGCCCTATGCTTAGCCCTCCAAGCCTTGCCGTAAGAAATTCTGTATTTGAACCTGACGAATACTTTTGTCTGGATAGCCTTCACTTCCATCGCTTTGCACTCCACTATCTCGCTGTAAAGCAACCGAGCAATAAGCATGGACGAAAGGTTGGCATGATCTTGAGGGATGCAGGGAATAAGACATGTGTGATGAACTAGGTCACAGATCACCCAACTTGTGCCATACTTAGGGAGATAGCCATGCACCTTGGCGCGGCAATCTTCGTTCTTGCATACCATTGTCAAGTATTTCTGACTTGACACCTGAGCTGTGAAAACCCTTTGTGTGGACATTGCCCATTGAATTATTGCGTCCTTCAGAGTGTTCTCGTTGGGATACATAGCACCCGTCGCAATGTTATTCTGGTGATATTGCCAGGCAGAATCATATGCCCATCGTTCACGATCATTGCTGATGAGAAGTCATGATTCCATTATGCAGGATTTGGCACATCCTCTGGGTTCTCTTCTTCATCAGACTCGTCGGAATCATCGGCATGACCAATGTCAACATCAATATTCTCATCTTCCATATGGTTCTGCATGTGCCTATCTACCTCGTCACGGTCCACCTCCCCACTGTAATAATCATCGGTATTTCCTCCGTGTACCTGACTACTCTGCCCTTGTTCGTAACCATCGTCTCTAGCATTTGACATTGAGTGTTGCATCACACCACTGCTTTGCCCAGGATTGTAACCACCCTCGCCTTCAGGTGCAACCATCTCCTTCACAATGGGAAGCACTAAGGCACAAGGATTGCATCCCCTGGTTTCGCAACCTTGTAACCACCGCACTCACTGAGAGTCCCGCTCTATTGGCCTCAAATAGAATAAAACGTTTGTACTTGACCTGGTCCACAATGCATGAACATCCACGGTGTGTGTTTCAGTATTCAGCCCTAAACATGATGTCACCCATTCTTTCAACTGACTAAGAGACCAGGTTTGAGGTGCGGTCAGTGGCACCTCTATGTTCTCAAATTCACTCACATCAACCCCAATCTCATTTGTTTGGATAGTTCCAGGACCATAGAAAAATATGAACGTCACTACATCACACATCTTGGCTGACCTATAAAATAATTTAACATGGACTGACAACTGTTAAACATCATGACAAACTAAACATATTCACAGTCCTAATTGACACAGCTAAAATTATTATGTAATATTAACGGATCAACTAAAATTATTCACACACATAAAAATATTTACTAAACTAAATATTTTGCGGATATTACCGGAACAACTTCAAAAATTAATACAACAACATGTTTGACATCTATATATAGTACATATAGTACCGCACCAACTAAAATAAACTGACATCCTTTTTTGTGGGAAAACTGACATCCACATCCACATATGATACGAAATATTATTGGAGCTACTGAATATATTCACACAACTAAATATTAGACATCTAAAAATATATCAGTTACTACCGGAGCAAATACCAATATTCGCACACCTAATACAAAATATTACCAGAGCAAATAACATCTACAATATTCGCACAACATCTATCGGAGAAATGTTGTAAAATTATACCCTTGAAGCGTGCGAAGCAACGACGACGAACGGCGGCCTTCAATCACCGGAGCCGGAGCTTCACCTCCACCACACTGCCGCAGCTTCACCAGTTCATCTCCACCTCCACCACCTCCACAAAATTGCTCACCACCATCTCCACCACCTCCACAAAAATGCTCACCACGACCACCACGAGCTACCCCATCACTAGATCGAGGTCTCCCTTGCCTCCCCCAACTATCTACAACGTATCTACGACGGCAAATCGGGAAAAAAATGGCTCACTTATAAATGGGTTACTTTTTAGGTGAAAAAGAGAAGAACGAAGAACACAAAGAAGAACACATAGCAAGGGGATAAGCTCGCGTGAGGGAAGGAGCTGGCGACCCAAGGCTGGGACCCTATCGTCCACAAGGAGGATGATCGTCCTGGACGACTGGACCCTATCTTCTGGGCCCCAGCCACCGACGGCCCATGCAGGGACGAGGGGGAGCGCTGCGACATGGCAGGCCAATCACCGGCCGCCATGTGAAGGACCGGCCACCAGTCATCCCCCTATAGACCGACTGGACTCAGTCGTCCAGCAGTAGGACAAAAGGATGCAGTCGTCCTCTTGCGAGACGAGGCCATATTATTTTTAGAAAATAAAATTTCAGTGTATTATTTCTGAAATTAATAAAAAAATGTATTATTTTTTAAAAATTAGCCTCGATCTGTCCACCCCTCCCAGGCCCCCAAATGGCCATGCGAATTTTCCACAGGGTTCTAATTTTGTCAAGAATATTTCACCCAGGGCCTCTCTTCCCCGAGAATATCTCCCTCACAGCCAAACAAAGCCTTATTGTTTTTCACAAACCTTGCCTAAGAGGGGAATTTGATTATAACCTGAAAATCAGACAGAGTACGTATTGAACCTATACGCCCGCAAGCTACATGAACAAACATTCAAAGTCAGATACTCGAATACTCCTTCCGTCCGAAAAAACTTGTCCCTCAAATGGATATATCTAACACCAAGTTAGTGCTAGATACATCCATTTGAGGGACAAGCTCTTTCGAACGAAGGGAGTATGATGTAAGAAAAATAGGTGATGCCTTACACCATCAATTAATCAGACCGTGGGATGTGCATTGAGAAGAATGCCGCCTTACAATGCTTCAAATCTACTCCTACATACTATGAAGTATGAGAGTTTCTAAGAACTGGCGATTTTGCGAAGATTGATTGCGAACCCGCGCCTTTTAGCTGAATCATGGACCGTTTTGCAGGTATAACACTCCATTTTGTTCTCTAGGGTTCACATCTTCTTTTGCTCTCAGAGGCGTTGAAGCCAAGTTCTTGATAATCGCAGCAGATAGATCAAACTCAGCTTTGTACTTGCAGCAGCTGGCCTCGATCCACTGCTCTGCAAGGCTTGTTGATACATTGTCTTGGCTGTCCCTCTCATGTTCTTCAATCGCTGGCCTTATCTCGTCGTACAGGGCATCGATTTCGGCAGTCGCCTGCTTCTTCACTTCCTGCGATTGGATCAGAAAAAGAGCTGTTACTGTGCAATATTTACAGCTTTCCACTGCAGTTTTCAGGACTAGTGAGTTACTTTTAGTTTTTACCTCACAGAACAATATTTCCTGGCGTGCCGCAGCTGATGCTAACCGGTCACAAATATCTGCAACATTCAATTGCTTGCACAGACCACGTTTAGCTTTGCCACCACGAAATTTGGGTGTGGGTCTCACCAGGACCAATTCGGTATGATGGTTGTTGTTCTGGGGAGAACTTTGATTCTCAAGCCTCGCAACTTTATGCATTGAATTTTGTGTAGTGTCATCAGAATATTGTGCACCATATTCGGTCAATCCATTCTCCATAATATCAACTCCCACTGGAACAGCTATCAGTGGTTCAATAGTCATTGGTGTGAGTTCATCTGAGCTTGCCATCAATGGTTCAACACTCAATGGCGTGAATTCATTTGAGCTTGCAATCTCAGGATTCTCAGTGGTATGCGCTACATTGCTGTTATTTTCTTGGGTGACTGGCTCATCTTTTGCTAGAATGGTGTCCTTCGGAATGCTTGTATGTTCGTCATCGGTAGAGTCATAAAGAGGGATATTTTCAACAGAAAACCTGCCATTTAAGATGGAAAATATTTGCTGCTTAACTGTTGCACAGAACCGTTGATATTTTAGCACTTCAAACAATAAACGTTTACTTACGATGAGTCAACATGGGCAACAGAGGTCTGAATTTTTATTTATTACCTAGAATTTTCAATTATTTGTGATGTAAGTATTTACTGTTTAACTGGTGCTTGGGATTGTTGTCCCCATCAATATTTCAGCACTTCGAACAATAAAAGGTTCACTTATCAGGACAAGTTGATTTGGGCAACAGAGGTCTGAATATTTTTACTAACCAGTGGTTCTCAATCAACAACAACAACAAAGCCTTTAGTCCCAAACAAGTTGGGGTAGGCTAGAGGTGGAACCCATAAGATCTCGCGACCAACTCATGGTTCTGGCACATGGATAGCAAGCTTCCACGCACCCGTCCATGGCTATTTCTCTGGTGATACTCCAATCCTTCAGATCTCTCTTTACGGACAACCAGTGGTTCTCAATGCTGATAAATTATCAGGACCAGTTTATTAAAGTAGCAATGACTAGTTGAGTAGTGAAAGGTTCTGGTTAGGTCTCTTATTACCCGCACAAAAGGTTGATGGCAAATAGAGTCATCCAAGTAGCGAAAATTATCTAAGCATATGAATCCTTTGGGCAAACCAGATTTTAGTTAGCAAATTGTCCAGGTAAGTAAAATGATAGCTTCTCATCAGCCTATGTCAATTAAGCAAAATTCTAAACGACCATCGGTGTGTCAACTTTTATTCTGTACAGCAGACTAACATGCAAGCACAAGGTTACCACAGAAGACTAACATACAAGCACAAGCTTACCTGTCATCATCATCTTCCCACAGGTATGTGGCCTCCTAAAACATGACAGACAATAAAGCACACATTAGGCAAGTGTTGGACGTTCCAAATATTGACTTAAAAGGAGGATCCAACAATGACCACAAATAAAGAAGTCCTATTAGTGAAAGATGACTGGTTCACTACACTACATTAACCATGAAGTGACTATTGCAAATAGTGCTCCCAGTTACACTACAATCTCCCGAGAAGGACAGCACCAAAGAGTTTTTAGATGAAGCAACACAAAATAGTTGTGTCAGCACACATGCAAAGGCGGCAAGCCAAAGAACTATCAATTTCTTTGTTCTGGAGCATCATCGGTCTAATGGAGAGAATGGCCAAACTCTACAGTAAATCCCTGCAGCTTTAATTGGATGGTCAGAAAGATAACATTGCTTTCATTTTTCAAACCCTACTGTCAAAACTCAAGCTGAAATAGGATCTTCTCTTTAAGTTAATGAGATGTATTACAGCATATTGTTCCACCCACCTGGAAACCACGTGATTTTGCCCCAAGAAACCCTGAACATCCGGTAGCTCCACAGAGGCACCGCACCATCACACCACCAAACCACTCAAAATTATAGTCATAGGATAATTCCGTTCCAATAGGAATATCTTGCTTTGCAAAAATGCCAACTCTCACTTCCCCGAGGACAGTCCATTTTCTTGTTTCACAGTTCGGCTGGCTGCACGTACAATAACAAACTGTTACATTTTATCACTAAGATGGAAAAGGAAGCAAAAAATCTAAAGATGAAATAATGAAAAGAAGAGAAACAAAATGGTAAAGGACTGTGTGTTTGCTACAAACATACCACGAATGGTTGATAAATCTGGCCAGACTCCCTTTCTTTGTTGCATCAATAGACTCATCAGCATTGAGGTAAATAATATAAGACTCCGTTAAACCTAATGTGGAACAGCAGAGAAATTACTAAAATAGAGGGCAAAGGGTGGCACAATTCCATTACTGGAAGGAGTGTTGTAACTGTGTACCCTGGTCTTCATATGCTTGAGATCTCCGCTTGGCTTCCTTCCATGATATTACTTCTCCACAATATTCAATAACAAATTGTCCAGCCTACAAATACCATTAAGATAAAAGACATGCTTGAGTAAATGGAATGTGAACAGAACAAACATTAAAATAGATGTAGTCACCGACTCACTGTAATATTTTCATCAGCCAAAAGACCCCATCCACGCCCTTCAGTTTTTACCAGCCTTGTCCTAGCATATTGACTTTTCTGAAATCGCTAAAAAGACGAAAAATGATGAAATGACAAAAAAAAGGTAATAAATAAAGTGGAAAACACATCAAGTAACTTTTAGCACAATTTACCACTTGTTCGTATACAGCATTGCCATGATATGCATCAGTAGGAGATGATGCGGCAGATAAAAGATTCACCGTATTGCAACACTTCACTTTAAAACCCCATCAAAAGTTTGAAAAGCAATAGAAAGGCATTTAATTTCGTGGTTATAATTGGTAGAAGGATTTGAGGGAGGACTGCCTAAATTGAGCAATGATCCTCAGACATCTAAGAATCTAAATACTGGTTCAACTAAAGCAAACTGTGCATACACATCTTTTTCCTTCTTGCCAGTAGCTCCGTGCAAATCAGCATCAACACAGATCAGAAAAAACAACCAAACAATCACACAGTGGTAGCACCAATATGGCAATACCTAAAAAAACAACGTGACAAACACTAACCTGGTTCTTGCAATATACACCACAGCGGCAATAGCCAGGAGTGCACTCTGTGTTAGTCGAGACATTCCAGCACCTCTCTCCACATGCACTATCTGGATCCATCAAATCATACTGGCACTCGCATACAGCTATGTCCTCCTCCTTCTGCCGCTTGTGCCTACAAGCAGCAATACACCAGTATGGGATTTGCATTCGCTTGTAAAACTGCAAGGCACGATGCTTCCTTCCACAGTGGGTTGATAAAAGGAACAAAAAGTATATACAACAAAACTATCAACCTTCTGTATGAAAAAACATTAGTCTCGATATGGATGTAAAGTGGTGCCTCTGTAGGCTCTTCCTCCTGAAACAGAAACAACTTCAAGAGTTCAGTACAGAGATGACAAAATCACTACAGACGGGTTCAGGGGGGGTGAAGAATGTGTCTTGAACCAGCAGTAATACCATTTGCGATACCAATTCTTGGACGGTGGAACAACAGGACCTCGACCTAGAAAATAGGGGAACTGATCAACAAACTGAGGCTGCAATTAGCATGTTAAAGTGGTGGACGACCGAGTACCGCAAGAAAAATCTTCGAGCGATTTGTGTAATCGTGGCCCGTTCAACAATGTGAGTGGGATTCATAATCCATTGATTGGGGGAGAAACGGAACTAGGGCATACCAGGAAGTCTGGATCAAAGTGGTGGAGGAGGTCCTGCTGCTGCTGCTGGTGGTGGTGGTGTTGGCGCAGCCCGTCCGCTACTTCCAGTCGCCTCAAATCACCGCCCCCTCGGCGTCCGAGCTCCGGCCGCCGCCTTCGTCCAACACCGCTGCTTGCAAGGCCCGAGGTGGGAGGCTTGCTCCGCACACCGCCGAGACGACCCAGAAGCCCCGCCGCCGAGAGGTGACCCGACGCCTCTGGCCTGGTCTCGAATAACAAGCAGCAGAGGGAGGCCAGAGGCCAGCGAGGGGGACGGTGAGTCAGTGAGGGAGGGCGGGGCGGCCAGGGAGCAGGCGGTGAAGGGAGGCAGGGCGGCGCGGCGTGGGAGATGGTCGCGTAGAGCTGTACGCCTGCTTGTGAACGAAAACGTATAGCCTTATTACGCCTACTCACTGCAATACATTAATCCTCAAAAGAAAAACTGCAATACACTAATAAGATTAAATAAAACCGCAAGACATTAATACCCCCTCTGTCAGCGTCAACTAATTTACAACTGAGGAAGTACATTATTTTTCTCAGTGCCCTTGGTAGTATAAGAAAACACTAATGTGCTCTTTAGTTGGGAACATTAGACAACATACTTCATATGTATTTATTTACTCTGCATATTAGTTTTATCTAAAGCCAAACTTTATGAACTTTGATCAGGTTTGTAGAAAATTGTATTAACACATACACACCAAATCAATATCACTAGAGTTGTTCTTGAACACTTTTTCAATTTTATAAATTTGTTATTGTAAAAGTTTATAAGTTTGACTTCAGCCAAAACTAATATGTGGAGTAAATAAAAACGAAGAATGACACCTGCTAGACCTTCATGTATTCCACCTGCTAGACCTTCACATGCATGACACCATATTTCCCATTTATGCACAATAACAACACATGTAAACAAGCGACTGGATCAATTATGTTCATCATGCACTGCAAGCTAGACAAACATGGGTTGTATTCTGGTTTCATGTGCCTATTCGAGATCACTAGATGTTTTTGGTGGATAGTTGTGGGATAGACCATTGACCGAATGTTTGGGACTTCTGTCTCGGCCGCTCGCAACATCATTATTTATACCCCTCACTCATGCGCGGCATAGGACGTAGGAACAACACCGTAGCCACGACTTCTTCCTCCTAAGTTCAAAACAGAAACAAACGCTCACACCCCAAATTGTGCAACGTCTTCCCACAATTCATTGCTTTCAAGAAGAGGCTGATGAGAGACATTGGCTTTGGAGGTGTGCTGGTTATCATAAGAACTCTCCCAAAACTAAACCTAAACTTTAGTTGTGCATCATGGAAAGGGTTAACCTAGACAACATCGAAATCAATTTATATGACGATCGGGCCATCAAGTCTTCAACACAGGATGTCAACAGTGTATTTGGGCTCCCGTGCGAAGGGAAAAAGATATCTTCATATTTGTCTGATCTTTTAGTGTCGTGTGCAGAGTTCAAGAAATTTGCAGAAGAGATGAGCGACAAGGGCACACATACACTACTAGGGAAAAGCCTATACACAGAATCTTAGCAGCAGCGCGGCTCAAAAAGGAGCGATGCTGCTAATTAGTAGTAGCGCGTGTGCGGGAAACTCGCTGCTGATAAGTTTTTAGCAATAGCGCGCTCTGTGTAAACCGCGCTGCTACAAATATCGACCGGCGGTGTTCACCTAACTCCATTTAGCAGTAGCGACGTGGCCCGAACCGCGCTACTGCTATGGATGTAGTAGTAGCGCGCTTTTACTGAGATCGCTGTTGCTAAATTTCAAATTGACACACTTTTTTGTCACTGTTAGCAGTAGCGCCGTGGCCCAAAGCGCGCTGCTGCTAATTCCTTATCAGTAGCGCGTTTCTGCTCCCGCGCTACTGCTAACTCTGCAACTTTTTTGACGTCATCTCTCGAAAGTCGATCAGTGTGAAGCAGCTCCAAAGGCTACAGGAAGAGATCATTGTGATACTGAATGAGCTTGAGATGTACTTCCCGCCCGCGTTCTTTGACGTGATGGTGCATCTGTATGTCCATATTGTGGATGACATAATAGACCTGGGGCCGTCATTCCTGCACAACATGATGTCATTTGAGAGGATGAATGGGATCACCAAAGGATTCGTTCGTAACATGTCCCGTCCGGATGGAAGCATCATCCAGGGCTATTTGGCACAAGAGTGCATCTCTTTCTGTGAGAATTTTCTATATGGCGCAGACCAGTCGCCTGGTGTTAGTGTTGGTTTGGCCGTTAACAAGCAGGATGGGAGGCTCGAAGGAGATGGTCACTGCAACGGTCGCAGGGAACTGCACGTGGCATACTCAGATCGACGCAGCGACTTTGACAGAGCAAACTTGGTAGTGCTACAACACCTAGACGAGGTAGATCCTTTCGTGGCACTGCACAAAGAAATTATCGCAAAGAAGTATCGTGACCGGGGGGTATACAGGACGGACACCGAAGTTACTAGAGAGCACAACTCCACTTTCCTGCATTGGTTCAAAGAGCATATTATTGCTAATCCCCCGGAGGAGGGCTCTAAGGACGGATTGCTCATATACGCCTTAGCACATGGCCCCTCGCCCAACCTCGTAACCTATCAGGCATATGATATCAACGGATACACGTTCTACACGGAGGCCAAAGATATGGACAGTGATGATCAGAACTCAGGGGTGACGATGGAATGCATGACCGGCAGCGACAACGGCGCAACTGAACGATTTTATGGAAGGGTCGAGGAGATCTGGGAGCTTGACTACTCTGGACTGCACAACACGATGATGTTCCGTGTCAGATGGGCTAAGAATGTCGAAAGAGAAAGCCGGATTTTCACTACCATGACTATACCCGACGCCAAGAGCGCTACCGTGAATGCTATCGCAAAAAACGAGCCATGGGTACACGCTAAGCACGTGACACAATGCTTCTTCATAACTGACCCGCGCAATCCCAGCCGTGTTGTCGTGAGAAGAGGCAAAAGGAACATCATTGGAATGGATGGAGTCGCCAACGAGGAAGACTATGATCAGTACGGCAACCCAATGAGGGAAGATGACGATGATGATGAAGTATACGTCAAAAGAAGAATCAATACTACATTACCTAAGAAAAATCGTACTCCATGGAAAAGGCAAAGTCACAATGAGGGGCTCAATTATTCTTCGACAAACAAGAAGGGAAAGAACCTGACTCAAAAACGAAAATGTCAGCACTGAGGAAACTTATGTTATCGGTCAAATGATGTAAGATATATATATATATATATATATATATATATATATATATATATATATATATATGTTCCTATTTTGTATACACACTTAGCCATTATTATGCATGGGTCCAATGATGTGTAATATATATGTTCCTATTTTGCATACATATTTAACCGTCAAATGATGCAATATATATCGCCCTCCCTTCGTTCACTGCCCTCGGGAAATAAAAGTGGGATAAAATAAAGGAAAAGAAAAAGGAAAACTGGCAGTAGCGAAGGTAGTAGCAGCGCGTTTTGCCTAAACCGCTACAGATACTGAAGTTAGTAGAAGCGAATTTCGTATAAAGCGCTACAGCTACTGAAGGTAGTAGCAGCGC